ACCACTACCACTACCACTACCACTACCACTACCACTACCAATATAAATAAAATTTATAGCTGTGCAGACTTAATAGTTTTTTTTTTTCAACTTATTTAACCTTTCTTTAGGCTCCCGAACTTCAAAATTACACTTAAATCATACTTTTTCATGCTCCATTTAGATAAAACTTTCTCTACTCTCTCGCTATCTCATCTCTCTCGCTATCTCTGTATCGCTCTCTCTTTCTAGCTATTTCTCTCTCTCTGTCTCTGTCTTAGACTTTCGCAAAGTCCGCCGCGAACCCCAAATAAAAAATTTCAACGATTTTGGAGCTCTAGCTACCTGTGCATGTAGATAGGTTTCTGCATTTGTGCAGGATGGAAGAGGATTATGGCAGATTAGAATGTGGTTTGAAGACCATCCACAGCCATCTTGTTGAACACAGGCCTACCCCCTAGGGATGTGTGAAAAATACTAGATAGCAGTGCTGCAGCTGGATATTTCTCGTTGAATATTTTGAGAAAAATTCAACCACCTCTACCTATTTCAGTGACCTAAAACGGACTTCTGTAAAGAAAGCTTCCTATGTTTAGGGGGAAGAGTGTCGAATGATCTTTATTTTGAAGTAAGAGCAGATAAAAAAACTACATCGACGAGCATTAAAAAAGCCCCCGTTAACTTACTAATTAGTTCATAATTTCTTCTTTAATATGAAATATTGTAACTTGTAATTAGTTTTGAAAATGTGACCTGCTATTATATTATATTTTTATTTTTATATGTAAATTATTTGAATATTTATATATACATATATACATATATATGTGTATATCAGTTTCTATTTGTAAATTTTACTCCTTCAAGCTCACCTTTCATGAAAAGCAGTTGTTTTTGTAAAGATTGCTAAAATATTGAGTACAATAAGGGTTATCTATTCTTCATTCATTCATTCATTTATTCATTCTCTATCTTTCCCTCTGTAATACGTAGACACGCACTAGTATAAAGATTGTTACAATTATTAATTTGCCTGCCTTGGTTCTCTCTTATTCTACTTTATTTTAAGTACAAATGAACTGGATGTCAGACAAAAGTAGAGTGATCAGCTCTTTTTAAAAAGAGCAGGATTTCGAAAGGTCGAAATGTTATTTTTAGCATTTTAACTGGAAAAGACCGACTGAAGGTCGAAATGTTATTTTTTGTATTTTAACTGGAAAAGACCGACTGAAGGTTGAAATGTTATTTTTAGCATTTTAACTGGAAAAAACCGACTGAAGGTCGAAATGTTTAATATAAACACGCTAGGAGTTGTAGAGCAA